CTTAAAATGGATGCATTTTGTTGGGTGTAAGCCACAATGAAGTCAATATAAATAACTAAAAGTATAAAAATGATGAGAGGCAATGTTTGGGGGAAAGTTGATGGGAGTTTGTTAGCTTGAAGGTTGGAGCAAGATTTTAGAGGGAGGTTTTGAGAGAAAGTAAATATGGCTTCTCCCTCATTGCAACAATCTTTTTTTTTTTGAAGATTCTAATTATAAAAAATATGAAGTAAAAGCTTCTGATGGTGCCTAAAATATTTGTTTGCAATCTCACCTGCTTATTTACTTAGTCGGCATCCATCCTCTTATTTTCCTGTTATCTGTATCTTTATGTATCGATATTTATTTATCTACTAGAGGCCCATTGCACGAAGAGATTCATGCAATAGGCCTTCCCTTCCCCTGGCTGCTGGCACCGGTTTTCCTCTGGCCCTGGAACCCAGGCCTACGCTCCGGCCAGAGCCTTCAGTCTTCGCTCTGCCGTTTCGCCCCTACGTATGCAAATTAACCGCCATCTTTGTTGGGTTAATTGGCATACTCTCTTGATTGGCTGGTGAGCGTAGCAGAGATATGGTTCATTTACATGTTTGTCTATTATTAGGTAAGATACATCTCTGTGTGAACATATATAATGCACATAATTATAATCCATATAAGAATTTAAAAAATGGTTTATCTCATGTCCTGTTTCACAGAAAAAATTGGATGCTGCACTATTAACAAGAACTCTGAAAATACAAATCATTATGGAAAAAGCCTTGGTATGCATTATTGATACATTTCATCATATCTTTGTTTTGTGTTTAAATACAAAGGGAATAATAAACATTTTTTCTTTGAAGTAAAGATATTATTTAAAGTGTTCAAAACGTGTATTTCAATAAAGCAGGGCATAAAGATATGTCAATTGCCTCTTCATTGAAATACGGAGACCAGTATTTATGGTATTGTTATCTAAATCAGTATGCAGTTCCTGTAACAATGTATAACTTTGTATGTGTGGGAGGCTTCTACTACACTATAATACATTGGATTATGACTACCTGCAGATATTTCCAGTCCACCCCAAATTGTGGAGAAATTTTCTCTCTTAAATTGATTTCCATTTTAAAACAAGTATTTATTTTATTACTCAATTGGTGATTCCTGTTATTAAGTATTTTATTTCATAAGATTATTTTATGCTTTATAAACACTTGTAATACCTGGTGGGAGTTATATATGTTAATAATGGGAAGAATTATTCATAGGAATGCTCATTTAGTTATGGGTATTCTTAACAAAGACATATGGATCAGAAGTTAAAAAGTCTAATTTGTCTGTTATCACTGATATTTTTTCATCAGTCTCTCAATGATTGCCATAATGTTCCATCTTTTTTCTTTTTTAGGTTCTTTATTGTTTAAAGTATTACATATGAATCCTCCCCCGCCCCCATTTTCCTCTCCCTGCTCATTCCCACCACCCCTCTGCAAATGCCCTCACCCCACCTACTGACTGTGTTCATGGGTTATACTTATATGCATGCAACAACCTCCTTTGGTTGATCTCTCCTCCCCTTCCTCTCCCTCTAATCCCCCATTGCCTGTGAGGTTGGATTGTCTGTTCAATGCTTCTATGTCTCTGGATCTATTTTAGTTCATCAGTTTATGTTGTTCATTATATTCCATAAATGAGTGAGATCATGTGATATTTATCTTTCTCCTAGTGGCTTATTTAGCTTAGCATAATGCTCTCCAGCTCCATCCATGCTGTTGCAAATGGTAAGAGTTTGTACTTTTTCACAGAAGCATAGTATTCCATTGTGTAGATGTACCACAGTTTTTAATCCACTCATCTGGTGATTGGCATTTAGGTTGTTTCCAAATCTTAGCTATGGTAAATTGTGCTCTATGAATATATGACTGCATATGTCCTTTCTGATTGGTGTTTCTGAATTCTTGGGATATATTCCTAGAAGTGAGATTACTGGGTCAAATGGGAGTTCCATTTTTAATTTTTTGAGGAAACGCCATACTATTTTCCACAGTGGCTGCACCAGTCTGCATTCCCACTAGCAGTGCACAAAGGTTCCTTTTTCTCCACATCCTTGCCAGCACTTGTCGTTTGTTGATTTGTTGTTGATAGCCATTCTGACAAGTGTGAGATGATATCGCAATTTCCTTTTGATTTGCATCTCTTGGATGATTAGTGACTTTGAGCATGTTTTCATATGTCTCTTGTCCTTCTGTAAGTCCTTTTTTGTAAGGGGTCTATTTAGGTCCTTTGCCCATTTTTTGATTGGATTGTTTAATTTTCCTTTTGTTAAGTTGTATGAGTTCCCTATAAATTTTGGAGAGAGATAAAACCCTTATCAGATATAACATTGACAAATATAATCTCCCATGAAGTGGGCTTTCTTGTTGTTTTGTTGATGGTTTCTTTTGCTGTGCAGAAGCTTTTTATTTTGATGTAGTCCCATTTGTTTATTTTATCCATAGTTTCCATAGGTGCTATATCAGTAAAAATATTTCTGTGACATATGTCTGATATTTTGCTGCCTATAGATTCCTCTAAGATTTTAATGGTTTCTTGTCTTGTGTTTAAGTCCTTTATCCATTTTGAGCTTCTTTTTGGTGTAATTGGTGGTCTAGTTTCCTTTTTTGGCATGTATCTGTACAATTTTCCCCACACTATTTATTGAAGAGACTATCTTGACTCCATTGTGTGCTTTTGCTACCTTTGTCTGATATTAATTGAGCATAATGGCTTGGGTTGATTTCTGGGTTCTCTGTTTGGTTCCATTGGTGTATATGTCTATTCTTGTGTCTGAACTAGGCAGTTTGGAGAACAGTGGTTTTGTAATATAGCTTGATATCTGGTATTGTGATACCTCCAACTTTGTGCTTCTTTCTCAGGATTACTGAGGCTATTCAGGGTCTTTTTTTATACCAGTTGAATTTTTTGGAGCATTTTTTCTTGATCTGTGAAGTATTGCTATTTTAATGAGGATTGCAATGAATCTATAAATTTCTTTGGTGAATATGGTCATCTTAATAATGTTGATTCTACCGATCCATGAGCATGGTATATTTTTTCATTTTTTATGTCTTCCTCTATTTTTTTTTCAAGGTCCTACAGTTTTCTGACCACAGGTGTTTTACCTCCTTAGTTAAGTTTATTCCTAGGTATCTTAATTTTTTTTGTAATGACAATTGGGATTGTGTTTTTAGTTTCTCCTTCTGTAAGCTTGTTGTTGTATGAAAAAGCCATAGATTTCTGAGTGTTAATTTTATATCCTGCTACATTGCAAAATTCACTTATTAAGTCTAATAGTTTTTTTTTTATGGAGTCTTTGGGGTTTTCTATGTACAATATCATGTCATCTATGAATAATGAAATTTTATTTATTCTTTTCCAATTTGGATGCCTTTTATTCCTTCTTTTTAAAACATATATAATTTTATTGACTTCAGAGAGGAAGGGAGAGGGAGAGAGAGTTAGAAGCATCAATGAGAAAGAATCATTGATTGGCTGCCCCCTGCTGGGGATTGAGCTTGTAACCCAGGCATGTGCCCTTGCCTGGAATCGAACCCAGAACCCTTTAGTCCACAGGCTGATGCTCTATTCACTGAGCCAAACCAGTGAGGACTATTCCTTCTTCTCTGATCGCTTTGACTAGTACTTCCAGTACTATGTTGAACAGGAGTGGTGAAAGTGGGCATCCCTGTCTTGTTCCTGTTCTTAGGGAAAATTGTTTTAGTTTTTGCCCATTGAGTATGATGTTAGAAATAGGTTTGTCATGCAAGGCTTTTATTATGTTGAGGTATGTTCCCTCCCACTGTGCTGAGTTTTTATCAAGAAAGGGTGTTGGATTTTGTCAAATGCTTTTCTGCATCAGTTGATATGATTATTTGATTTTTGTCTCTCAATTTGTTTATGGGATGTATCACTTTTATTGATTTGCAGATATTGTAACAACCTTACATCCCTGGAATAAATCCCACTTGGTCGTGGTGTATGATTTTTCTAATGTAATGCTAGATCTGATTTGCTAGAATTTTGTTGAGGATTTTAGCATCGATGTTAATTGGAGATATCTATACTAATAATCTATACTAATAAAAGGGTAATATGCTATTTAGACTGGATAGACCAGATGTATTCCGGACATCTTTTCTGACAAAGCCAGGGGCGTGGCCTGCCTGCAAATTGCCCACGGCCCCTTGCTCAGGCCAACCCCCTTCAGCGGGACCCCCATCCTGTTCAGGGGTGTGGCCAGCCTGCAAACTGCCTGCAGTTCCTTGCCCAGGCTGTCCCGAACCCCAGCAGGGACCCCCACCCCAATTGGGGGTGTGGCTGGCCTGCAAACCCTCAGCGGCCCCAAGCCCAGGCCAGCCCCGCCCTCCAGTGAGGACCCCACCACCCCAATCCGGGGCCCCCTTCAGGGCACGCCAGCTGGTCTCCACCTGTGCACCAGGACTCTATTCTATATAATAAAAGGGTAATATGCAAATTGACCCTAACAGCAGAATGACCAGAACGACCGCTGGACCAGTCACTATGAAGTGCACTGAGCACCTCTTGGTCCCTTTTCCAGGCCGGCAGGCTCCAATCACCTCATGGCCACCCGTGGCAGAGGTGGGGCCGGCGAGTGGGTGGGAACAGCCAACCTCTCTGTTCCTTCCCCTGGCCATCAGGTACCAATCACCCGATGGTGAACGGGGAACCGCGGGTGGGTGGCGGTGGGGGGCGGGGGTCAGCTGCAGGCAGCTGAGGAAGAAGGCTCTGATTGCAGGCCAGGCTTAGGGACCATACCCACACACTTATTTTGTGCGCAGGGCCTCAAGTTATCCTATAATTCTCTTTCTTTGTAGTGTCTTTATCTGGTTTTGGGATTAGGGTAATGTTGGCTTCATAGAAAGAGCTTGGAAGTGTTTATTCCTCTTGAATTTTTTTGGAATAGTCTGAGGAGGATAGGTTTAGGTCTTCTTTGAATGTTTGGTAAAACTCTCCTTTGAAGCCATCCAGACCAGGGCTTTTGTTTGCTGGAAGTTTTTTGATGACTGCTTCAATTTCATCTATAGTTATATGCCTTTTCAGGTTTTTTTTTTTTATATTTCCTGATTGAGTTTTGTATTTTTCTAGAAATATGTCCATTTCTTCTAGGTTGTTCATTTTGTTGGAGTAGAGTTGTTTGTAGAATTTTTTTTACAATTCTTTGTATGTCTGTGGGTTCAGTTGTTACTTAACCTTTTTCATTTCTGATTTTGTTAATTTGGGTACTCCCTCTTTGTTTCTTGGTGAGCCTGACTAGAGGTTCATCAATCTTGTTTATCCTTTCAAAGAACCAGCTCTTAGTTTCATTGATCTTTTGTATTGTTTTTTGGTCTCTATGTCATCTATTTCTGCTCTAATCTTTTTTATTTTCTTCCTTCTGCTTACTCTGGCCTTTTCTTGTTGCAGGTTTAGATAATTTACTACCATTTTTTCTTGTTTTTTGAGGTAGACCTTAGAGCTATGTATGAATTGCCCACTCAGGACTACTTTTACTGTGTCCCATAGATTTTGGATTGTTGTGTTTTCATTGTCATTTGTTTCTAGAATGCTTGTATTTTTTCTTTGATTTCTTTGGTAACCCAGTCATTATTTAATAGCATGCTATTTAGCCTCCATGTGCTTGATTTTTTTATTGTAGTTGATTTCTTATTTTATGCCATTGTGATCTCAGAAGATGCTTGATATGATTTCTTTCTTCCTGAGTTTGAAGAGACTTTGCCTGTGTCCCAATATGTGGTCTATTTTTGAATATGTCCTATGTGTAATTGAGAAGAATGTGTAATCTGTTGCTTAGGGATGAAATGTTCTGAAGATGTCAATTAATTCTATCTGATGTAGTGAGTCATTTAACATTTCTGTTTCTTTGATGATTTTTTTTTGTTGTTTAGGGGATTTATCCAGTTGTGTCAATTTAGGGGAAGGGAGGGAGGCCCTGGCTGGTGGCAGCATCATGTGGCCTGGGGAAGGGTGAGAGTACCTGGCTGGCAACTGGCAGCCACTAGGGATCCTACCAGTGCACAAATTTCATGCACTGGGCCTCTAGTTTTAATTAATATAACTATCATATTATATGATATCTGCTTTTTGTCTAGGAATTTCCTGGTATATAATTTCATATTTTTAATATTTCTATGTCTTTGTAATGTAGGTGTTTTAATTTTAATTTGCACAAGGTATCTTTTTTTTATAGCCTTTCCTTTTTGGAGTATTGATGATTTGTGATTATTACTCATTTGCATCATCATATTTTTATTTCTTTTGTCTTACTTTTCACATATTTAGCCTTCAAAAGGATCACCTTCACTCATACCATACACATGCTGTAGTGTATAAATTTACAGTGTGGTTTAGTGAGAAAGGTCATATACAGATAAATGGCAAAGTGCAAACATAGCATTTTAGGGAATTAGGAGAATAGAATCATAGAATCCCTTTTGTCTATATCAGAGAAATGTGACCATTGGATTTTATTTTCTGTTATTAATCTTCTGCAGAGTTGGTGAAGATATTGAAAATCTCAACTGCCACTTTTTATGCTCTTCACAAACACTTAGAAATGTGTGTGTGGGAAAAAAAACAATATGAAGGATTTGAGAAAATATTATGATTTTTGTTCTCTTAAAGGAGGGTATATTCTTAAATTTTCTCACTATTATGGTACTCAGCTCTGTGTCAGACCAAAAGACTTAGTGGTTTAATTAGAGACTTGAATTCTGGTTCTTACCCTTAGTGTTTATACATTCTTGGAATGTTAAATTTTGACCCTTAATTTTTGCATAGTAAACAGGAAGATAATCAGAATCTCATCATTTTAATATTATTTATTAATATGTAAAGGCTGTATGTTTATTTCTAAAACTTATTAAGCACTTGATAAATCTTAATCTTCTGCCTTTGTCTTTCACTTAGTCACTTATTTTAGTATTTCATATCTATTGAAATGTGATATATTAGTAATTTCACTAGTGATTAAGAAATAGAACTTGTCTTTCAGTATGATTATATGGGCTCTGAAGTGGCTGTTGCAACCGAGAAAATTGTCTATATCTTTGGTCTTATCAACACTGTAAGTGTTTATGTTTTGTATTCTAAGTAAGCAGCATTCTCAATTATGCAATAACATTATTTGTATGAATAGAATTAACATTTTTATAAAAGTATAGTCCTACCAAGCTGTTTCACGTCCAATTCGTCTTCAAATTACAGTAAATTGAATATACTAGCGTTCTGTATAGAGATGTAATGTTATATCTGTGATTGTCTAAACTGTATATCATGTATCTTCTGTTTTCAGATGTTTTCCCAGCTGAAACTGACTGTTATGTTAACATCTTTGGAGATCTGGTCAGATCAAAATAAGATTTTATGTACTGGGGATGCTAATGAACTACTACAAAGATTTGTGTCATGGAAAGGAAGAAATTTGTTTCATAGGTCCCACGATATGGCATTCTTGTTGATGTAAGTTCCTTATTTGCATTGATAATAGGGTTTATAAAATTATTTGATATTTTAGCTATCAAAACTACATACAAACGTTAAGTATAATGACAAAAAAAGAATGTATGAGTAGAATGTTGGCAAAGTGCAAAGTAAAAACAGATAACAAGGTAGCATAAAAAATCATGGTTGGCCATTATTCTCAGAGTGGACTATTTACCTGTGGAAATGTAATGAACTGGAAAATATAGAAGTCTTGGGATATATATGGGCCTCTGAGGTTTTAAAGATTTTCTTAGATGCAAAAAACTGAAACCATCATTTTAACATTAAATAAAATATAATAAGTTAAGAGAATGCAATAATTGTATATAAAGCTGGTTGCAATTCACAAGTTTAAAATGGTAATGTGCTTACCTCTAATATTCCTATATTGAGCTAAATTGTAGCTATTTAATTACTTGAAGTATACCTTACAAGGGATTGTGTATAGATTTTTGTTTTAATAATTTAAATATTTTAGATTTGAAAAACTCATAATTCTGAGGTCTGAAAGAATTATAGAATACACTTATAAATCTATTGGTGTATCCTGTAGAATCTAAGGTGAGGTTTGGGAATTTAGGAGCAACTTTAAATAAGAACTAAAACGAATGAGGACAGTTTGTACATCCTATTTCTCTTTTTCTTAGTGAGTCTACTGCATGTTCTGTCTCTCTATTTGTCCTCCAATCCAACATTTTATATACTTTAAAGGTTTCGCTATGTGAAAATCATGGCAGTAAGCTATCCTGACTGTTACAACCTAGAATTATATCCACCCAGAAGTGACAACAGTGTTAATTAAATATTTGGAAGGAAGGATTAGGCACTGCTGGGTTCTGAGGTGTGTAACAAATAATGTTGAAGCATCTCTTAGAACTTAACTTTGTAGAAACTATATGAGGTTACCCAAATACAAAAATGATTAAATGCATTTGAGTTAATATGTAATATTCTCATTTTAACGAAAACATAGCTTTATTGAGGAATCCAATTCTTAAGAAGTCATTAAATTATTAATCATTTAAAATGCACTTATCCTCAAGAAAATTTTTATTATTTAGTTATAGGGATTATCCAAATTATGTGGGAGCAACATATCATGGAAGGGCATGCGATCCAAAGCTTGCTGCAGGAATTGCTCTGGTATGCATTTTATGCCCATCTCTTCAATAGTTATGTACCCTGTTGAAAGTTAATATCCACTTCAAGGGGGAAAAGTACATATAGTGTATCTACCACACCGTTTTGACAGAATATTAGAAAGTATTTTTTAAAGATTATGGAAACTCAAATGGTGTAATACTAAAAAGGGTTTTTATTATGGTAAAATACATATAAAATATAGTATCTTAACTACTTTTAAGTACATAGTGCAGTAGTGTTAAGTTTATTTACATTGTGTTAAGCTTATCTGCAGAGCTTTTCATATTTCATAACTGAAACTTTGTACCCTTTGAGCAACATGGCCCTATTTTCTAAACCTTCTAGCCCCTGACAACCACCATTCTACTCTCTGCTTCTCTGAGTATGACATTTTTACATTCCATGTATAAGGAAAATCATGTAATATTTGTCTTTTCCTGACTTATTTCACTTAGGATTGTATTACCCTGCTACATCCATATTTTTGCAAAGACAGGATTTTATTATTTTTATGGCTGAATAATATTTCATTTTGAGTTACCTTTTCATATCTTATATAATAAAAGCCTCATATGCAAATCAACCCATTGTGTAGATGTACCACAGTTTTCTAATCCACTCATCTGCTAATGGGCATTTAGGCTGTTTCCAAATCTTAGCTATTATAAATTGTGCTGCTATGAACATAGGGGTGCATATATCGTTTCTGATTGGTGATTCTGCTTTCTTAGGATATATTCCTAGAAGTGGTATTACTGGGTCAAGTGGTAGTTCCATTTTTAATTTTTTGAGGAAACGCCATACTGTTTTCCACATTGGCTGCACCAGTCTGCATTCCCACCAGCAGTGCACGAGGATTCCTTTTTTTCCACACCCTCCTCAGCACTTGTTGTTTGTTGATTTGTTGATGATAGCCATTCTGACAGGTGTGAGATGGTACCTCATTGTTGTTTTGATTTGCATCTCTCAGATGATTAGTGACTTTGAGCATGTTTTCATGTGTCTCTTGGCTTTCTGTGTGTCCTCTTTCGAAAAGTGTCTATTTAGGTCCTTTGCCCATAAATACATTTTTACTGGGAATTAAAGATACACCTCCACAAATGTAAGCAACCTATGCACAAGGTTATCCATTACTTTATTATGTTTTAATAACAAAGGCCTGGGAGAATCCAGATGTCCAACCGTCGGACACAGTTAAACAAGCATGCCAGCCAACATGCTGTCCAAGGGAATGAGAAGAGGTTCTGTGGGCTGGTCAGAAGATAGATTGACTTGAGGAAAGCAAGGTGCAAAGGAGATGTAGATGCTAACTTTTGTGACATCCAAACGCTGTTAGACCTATTGCAGGGTTTTCGAGTCTGTCTCGCAGCTGTCTTTTCACTGGTGGGAATTGTGCATAAATGGCTTGTTTTGCAAAGAAACCCAGGAAGGATAAACCAGATTTCAAACGGGAACAAGGAGGAAGACACAGAGATGTTTATCCAACAAATATAATTATCTTGAAATCCTTTGTCAAATATTAATTGAGCATAATGGCTTGTGTTGATTTCTGTGTTCTTTGTCCTTTTCCACTGGTCTATATGTCTATTCTTATGCTAGTACCAGGCAGTTTTGAGAACCGTGAATTTGTAGTATAGTTTGATGTCTGGTATTGTGATCCTTCCAACATTGTTCTTCTTTCTCAAGATTGCTGCAGCAATTCAGGGTCTTTTTTTATTCCAGATGAATTTTTGGAGAACTTATTCTAGGTCTTTGAAGTATGCCATTGGTATTTTAATGGGGATTGCGTTGAATTTATAGATTGCTTTGGGTAGTATGGACATTTTAATGATGTTGATTCTACCAATCCATGAACATGATATATTCTTCCATTTGTTCATGTGTTCCTCTATCTCTTTTTTTAGCATCTGAAATTTTCTGAGTACAGGCGCTTTGTCTCCTTGGTTAAGTGTTTTCCTAGGTATCTTATTTTTTTTGTTGCAACAGTAAATGGGATTTCATTTTATTTTCTCTTTCTGTGAGTTCATTATTGGTGTAAGGAAAAGCCATAAACTTCTGGGTGTTAATTTTATATCCTGCTACATTGCTGAATTCATTTTTTAAGTCTAGTGGTTTTTTGATGGAGTCTGTGGGGTTTTCTATGTACAATATCATGTCATCTGCAAATAAGAACAGTTTTACTTCTTCTTTTACAATTTGGATGCCTTTTATTTTTTCTTCTTATCTGATTGCAATGGCTAGTTCTTCCAGTACTGTGTCGAACAGGAGTGGTGAGAGTTGGAATTCCTGTCTTTTTCTGTTCTTAGGGGAAATGGTTTTGGTTTTTGCCCATTGAGTATGATGTTGGCTGTGGGTTTGTCATATATGGCTTTTATTATATGGAGGATCCTTCTATTTTCACCTTGCTGAGAGCTTTTATCAAGAAAGGGTGTTGGATTTTGTCAAATGCTTTTTCTGCATCAATGGATATGATTATATGGTTTATATCTCTCAATTTGTTTATGTGGTGTATCACATTTATTGATTTGAAGATATTGTACCATCCTTGCATCTCCGGAATGAATCCCACTTGGTCCTGGTATATTATCATTCTAATGTAATGCTGGATTTAATTTGCTAGAATTTTCTTGAGGACTTTTGCGTCTATGTTCATGAGAGATATTGGCCTGTAATTCTCTTTCTTTGTATTGTCTTTATCGGGTTTTGGGATTAAGGCAATGCTGGCTTCATAGAAATAGCTTGGAAGTGCTCCTTCCTCTTGAATTTTTGGAATTGTCTAAGGATAGTAGGTTTTATTTCTTCTTTTAATGTTTGATAAAACTCCCCTGTGAAGTCCTCTCATCCAGGGCTTTTGTTTGTTGGAAGTTTTTTGATTACTGCTTCAATTTCCCCCATAGTTATTGGCCTATTCAGATTTTTTGATTCCTCCTGGTTGAGTTTTGTAGGAATATTTTGTCGTATTTTTCTAGGAATATGTTCATTTCTTCTAGGTTGTCCAGTTCATTGGGGTGGAGTTGCTCATAGTATTTTTTTTATGATTCATTGTGTTTCTATTGAGTCTGTTGTTATTTCACCTCTTTTATTTCTGATATTGATTATTTGGGTCCTCTCTCTTTGCTTCATGGTGATCCTGGCTAGAGGTTCATCAACCTTGTTTATCCTTTCAAAGAACCAGCTCTTGGTTTCTTTGATCTTTTGTATTATTTTTGTGGTCGATGTGTCATTTATTTCCACTCCTATCTTTATTATTTCCTTCCTTCTGCTCACACTGGGCTTTTCTTGTTACTCTCTTTCTTGTTCTTCAAGTTGCAGAGTTAGATGGTTTATTACCAGTTTTTCTTGTTTTTTGAGGAAGGCCTGTAATGCTATGAACTTCCTTCTCAGGATTGCTCTCACTGTGTCCCAAAAATTTTGGATTCTTGTGTTTTTCATTGTTGTTTGTTTCCAGGATGTTTTTTAATTTCTTATTTGATCTCTTTGGTAACCCACTCATTGTTTAAAAGTATGCTATTCAGCCTCCAACTGTTTGAATTTTTGTGATTGTTTTTACTGTAGTTGATTTCTCATTTTATGCCATTGTGATCTGAGAAGATGCTTGATATGATTTCAGTCCTCTTGAATTGGAGAGACTTTGCCTATGTCCCAAGATGTGGTCTACCTTTGAAAATGTCCCATATGTGCTTGAGAAGAATGTATATTCTGTAGTTTTAGGGTAGAATGTTCTGATGATGTCGATTAACTCCATCTGATCTAGTGAGTTGTTTAGAATTGATGTTTCTTTGCTAATTTTTTTGTCTAGAGCAGTGGTTCTCAACCTTCTGGCCCTTTAAATACAGTTTCTCATGTTGTGACCCAACCATAAAATTATTTTTGTTTCTACTTCATAACTGTAATGTTGCTACTGTTATGAATCGTAATGTAAATATCTGATATGCAGGATGGTCTTAGGTGACCCCTGTGAAAGGGTCGTTTGACCGCCAAAGGGGTCACAACCCACAGGTTGAGAACCGCTGATCTAGAGGGTTTATCCAGTGATGTTAGTGGAGTATCAGTCTCCTACTATGATTGTGTTTCTGTCAATATCTCCCCTGAAATCTTCCAGAAGTCTTTTTATGTATTTGGGTGCTCCTTCATTGGGTGCGTAAATGTTTACCAGAGTTATGTCCTCTTGCTATATCAATCCTTTTAGAATTATTAAGTGGCCTTTCTTTTCTCTTGCTATGGTATTCACTTTGAGGCCTATTTTGTCAGATATAAGTATTGTTAACCCAGCTTTTTTTTCATTTCCATTTGCCTGGTGGTATTTTTCCATCCCTTCACTTTCAGCCTCTGTGAGACCCTTGTTCTGAGGTGAGTCTCCTGTAGACAGCATATATGGGTCATGTTTTTGTATCCATTCATTCACTGGATGTCTTTTGATTGGAGTACTTAATCCATTTATGTTATTATTGACAGGTACTTGTTTGTAGCCATTTCTGTGTTTTATGCCTGTGTTCCTTCCTCCCTTTCTATTTCTTCTTTTTACAGCATTCCCTTTAGCATTTCTTGCATTGGTGGCTTGGTAGTGATAAATTCTATTAGCCTTTTTTTTTGTCTGCGAAGCTCTTGATTTCCCCTTCAATTTTGATTGATAGTCTTGCTGGATAGAGTATTCTTGGATTCAGTCCTTTGCTTTGCATCATTTTGTATACTTCATTCCATTCCCTTCTAGCTTGATATGTTTCTATTGAGAAATCATTTGACAATGTAATGGGGGATCCTTTGTAGGTAACTCCCGGTCTCTCACTTGCAGCCTTTAATATTCTCTCTTTGTCGTTAACATTTGCCATTGTAACTATGACGTGTCTTAGTGTGGGTCTTTGGGGATTCATCTTGCTTGGAACTCTCTGTACTTGTGTAACTTTTTTCTTCCCCATATCAGGGAAGTTTTCTGTCATTATTTCTTCAAATAGCTTTTCTAGTCCTTGCTGCTCATCTTGTCCTTCTGGCAGCCCTATTATACATACAGTGGGGCCTTGACTTACGAGTTTAATTCGTTCTGAGACCGAGCTAGTTAAGGAGCTCGTTAAGGAGCTCATTAACTTAAATTACTCTATCAACTCAATGCAAAAAGTCGGCGGAGAGACAGCTGGTATCTCAAAAAACTCGTTAGTCGGGACACTCGTAAGTCAAAGCCCCACTGTATGTTACTGTTTTGTGTTGTCCCAAAGCTCCCTTAGGTTCTCCTGGTTTTTAATTTTTTCTCCAGTTGCTGTTCAGATTGGGCTTGTTTCTCTACTTTATCTTTTAACTCACTAATCCAGTCCTCTGATTCTTCTAGTCTAATGTTGGAACCTTCCATAGAGTTTTTTATTGTAGCTATGTCACTTTTGATTTCTTCCTGATTTTTGAATAGGTTGTTGATTTTCTCGTTCATCTGGTTTATGAACTGTATGACTATTACTCTGAATTCTTTTTCTGTAATGTTGAATGCTTCTGTTTCACTTATTTCCTTTCTTGGTGATTCCTCTTTTCTTTCCAATGTGGATTGTTTCATTGTCTCCCCATTCTATCACCAGAAGGTTCAAACACCGATTTGTGGGAGTCTGGTTCGAGGGCATTGGGAGCTTTGTGCCACCCGAGTGTCACTGAAGAGCTTCCACACCAAGACGTGTGACTGCCATAGGTCCATGGAGTCAGGATTAGAGTCACCGGTGCTCAGTGCAGCCTCACACACACACCTAGAATCAGGGATCCCACCTGTGCCATGCTGAAAAAGAGACCCTGCTAGAATGTGTTGAAAATCAGAGTACCCTAGCACGTGCCAGGAGTCAGAGTCCCCCTGTGCCCGTGCTGAGAATCCAGTATCAGAGTCTCTGTTGCTTGGTGTGGCCTAGTGCTAAGAATACGGGTCCCTGTGTGCACATGCTCCAAGAATTAGAGGCACTGGGTCTTCGTGTGCATGCACTGGGAATCAGGGATCCCATGCACGCACGATGAGAAACAGAGTCAAGTCAATGGTGCTCAGTGCTGCCTCTTGTGCAGAGAATCAGGGTCCCTGGTCTGCTTGGGGGCCGGGTTGCACAGCCGCCCTGTGTTGACGGGAGGTCCACTCCTGCACTGTGGGAAACAGACTTCCTTGTGCGCTTGCCCAAAATTAAAGTCAGGTGGCATAGCTGCCCTGTGTGAGCGTGGGGTCTGGTTGTACCAGTACGTGCTGTGGGAAACAGATTCCCAGTGTCTGCGCTCCCAGGCTCAAATTCAGGTAGCAGTTTCCCTGTGTGGGCCTGGGGTCTGGTCATGCGAGTGCACACTGCGGGAAACAGCCTCCCAGTGTCTGCGCACCCAGGCTCAAATTTGGGTAGAGCAGCCACCCTGTGTGGGCAGGAGGCCTGCTTGCGCAGAGTGGGTCTAACAATTCCTATGCCCCTCCAACAGCCTGTAGGGACAGGGAAGGGCTCTGTGACTCACAGAAGTCTGCGGCTAGGATGTCTGGATTCTTGGTGTTTGTGGGTCTGCAGCTGTGATTGCAGGTCTTTGTCCCAAGTGGCTGTAGGGTCACGGTTTATGTCTGAGACCAGATTGGGTGGCAGTCTTTCTCTATTTTCTTGTCTCTGGATTTTATATTTGTTTATTTGCTTGGGTTCATTTTGTTCTTTTATTTTTAGTTCTTTGAGGTTTAATGTTGTGTTTTTCAATTGAGATCTTTCTCGTTTGGTTGGGTTTTTGTTTTTAATATGGCTTCTAATTGATTTTAGAGAGAGAAGAAGGGCGAGGGAGAAAGAGAATCATCAGTGAGAGAGAGAGAGAGAGAGAGAGAGAGAGAGAGAGAACTTCGATCAGCTGCCTCCTGCATGCTCCCCACCATGGATTTAAGCCTGTAATCCAGCCATGTTCCCTGACCAGGAATGGAACCAGTGACCCCTTGGTGAATGGGACGGCACTGAACCAACTGAGCCACACACAGGCCAGGGTTCTTTATTTTTTAATGTATGCATTTACAGCTAAAAAATTTCTTCATAGCCCAGCTTTTGGTGGATCCCATAAGTTTGGATATGTTCTATTTTAATTTTCATTTTTCTGAAGGTATTTTCTAATTTCCTTTTCACTTCTTTGGATTCATTAATATTTAAGAGTATGTTGTTGAAGTAGCACAGCCATGTGAATTTTCAAGTTTTTCTTTTCTCATTAACTAGTAGTTTTATTCCATTGGCATTAGAAAAGATACTTTGAATAATTTCAATATTTTCAAAGCTGTGAGATTTGTTTTGTAGCCTAACAGGGGTTCTATACTGAAGAATGTTTATGTACTCTTGAAGAGAATGTGGTGTATTTTGTTCTTATTGTGTGGAATATTCCATGTATGGCCAACAAGCAAATCTATGATGAAAAAATGATAAAGCAACAAACCTTCTTTCCTAAAACTATTGATAAAGAAAAAATTGATTGCCAATTTAACTTTTAAAAAATTCTGTATTTCTCCAAGTATTCACTGGAAAAATAATACAGTGGCTAAAACAATGTTTATTCTCAAAAAAATTATTTGGATTCAAGCAGCAACCCAATAAACCCACAAAAAGAGTATTAATTTTATCTGTTTCTTGTCAATGTCATTTGGACTAAAAATATCATTTCTTAAAAATATGAAACACACCACAATTTACCAATTTTTTTCATGCTATATTCTTAAATTTATATTTGCATTTAGGCAGTATGCCCACAAATTATTAATTGAAATGATCAAAAGGATGGAGAAATAACTTAAGCAATACATTTTTTTTGTACTTAGTATCCAAAGAGAATATCTTTAGAGGCATTTTCAGTTGTTATGGCACAGCTGCTTGGAGTTAATCTGGGATTAAGATATGATGACATCTATAATTGTTACTGTCCAGGAGCTGCATGCATTATGAATCCTCAAGCAATGTAAGGTGTTGTTTCTATAAACTCTATGTAGTTTTTGGTGGAATGTTTGTAGTAGTCTTTGATGTATAATTGCTTTGATGTATATAACTTATGGGTGAGAAGATTTTTATTAAATAGATGTGTTGTTATTTAAAGATTATTAAATACAAACAGGATTCAATATTGTAGAAAATGTGCTTAATATTTCCATATTCAATGTGACAGTCCACAGAGAAACTATTTGTTGTTAGTGACTTTCTGGGGCTTGCTATAGTCTTGAAGTGAAATTTATTTATTCATTTTGAAAATGTAATGGGCATTGACTGTGTTGCAAGGTTGTGTGCTTGCCTTATCAATGGTTAACAAGGTAAGTAAGTCCTAAATATATAATACTAGAGGCCCGGTGTACAAAAATTTATGCACTCAGTGGCGGGGGGGGTGTTCCTCAGCCCAGCCTGTATCCTCTCACAGTCTGGGGACCCTTGGGGGATGACTACCTGCTGGCTTAGGCCCGCTCCCTGGGGGATTGGGCCTAAGCTGGCAGTCAGACATCCCTCTGGCAGCCCGGGAGCCCTTAGGGGATGTCCACTTGCCAGTGGGGAGCAGGCCTAAGCTGCAGT